CAAGCAGCTGCCCACTGCTCTGAAGGAATACTTCACCGGCTTTGCCAAATCCCTGGGCCTCACCGATGACCACATCATCTTCCCTGTCCCCACTGGTAACTGCCAGCGACGGAGAGGAGAAGGGGACATGGGGACTGTCCGGGCCTGATGTTGCCTCACAAGGGAAAGGGGGAGAGGGGAGACTCAGGCCCCTACTGCAGGCACTGGAGCCCCTGGGAGCCACTTTGGGTTCAAGGAGACCCTGACTCACCCAGGGGTCTGCGGAGCACCCAGCAATGTGGGCCCCGAGGATTCCTCCCTGACAGAGAGCCCAGGTCCAAGTTTCCCACCTAGTTGCCTGGCCATGTTCCCCTCTACCCAGGTCTGCTTGTCCTGGGCTCGCACCCATTTTGCCCTGGGGCTTGCTCACCACTGACTTGGGAGGTGCTCAGGTAGCCTGGCCTGGGCAGGTGCCTCCCCAAGGCTGCCGGGGCTGTCAGGACTCAGCAGGGAAACAGGCAGAAGGCCTGGTGCCCAAGTAGGCACGTGGCTGGGCCTTATCTGCCTCCTCTGGAGAATGGGTGTCACCCAGCTCTGCTTGTCCTCTGGCTTCTCTCCCCGTCCCCTGCCCCCATCATCCACCCCTCTGCTGCACCATCCCTGAAGGGAACCCCCAGATCTTCTGCGGCTGGCCAGGCTGGGGCCCAGGGCAGCCCAGGGGCTGCATAGGGGCCCTGGAGGTCAGGGATCCCCCCCACAAACTCCTGCCCATGCTGACCACTCTGTCCCCCACAGACCAGTGCATCGATGATAAGTGAATGAGTATGCGGTGAGTATGGCCCAGGAAGGGGCTGATGGGAGCTAGAGTGCAGTGGGAGGGGGTCCTGGGCCTGCCTTTGTCCCCCCTGCCCAGCACTGCTGCCCTCTTTATTCCTCTGACTCTCTTTTAGGTGTCCCCCGTCTCTCTCCTCCCCATCACCCTCACGCTGACCTCTGCCCAGGGCACCGCCCAGCTGTTCCACCAACCCGGACACCAGGAGAGAGCCCGGAGACCCTTCTCACCACACAGCCCACCAGCTGCTTCCCAGGCTGCCCTTCTGATGGAACCCCTCCTTGCTTGCTAAATAAACACATGCCCCCAGGTCTTCAGTCTGTGCTCCTTGACCCCTGGGCCCTCAGAGGGAGAAGAGCAAAGGGCGGGCTCCTATTAGCATCACTCCCAGGGACGTGGCCCCCAGAGAGGGATGGAGGCTGCAGAAGCAGAGTCCAGCTCTGACTGAATACTTGTGGCTCCCCACTCCAGGCCCAGCCCCAGACCAGCAGCAGCCCTCACTGGCCCCCACCTCCTAGCACACTGATGGTGAACTGACACCCACGTTCAGCCCCCTGCAGCAGGGCCAGGGAGCTGGAGGGGCTTGGGGGGGCTGAGGTACTGTCATCCACACTTCACCAGGACCCTGTAGATCCTGGAAGACTGCAGCCAGGGCAAGAGGGGTACACAGTGGGTGGGACAGAAGCATGTCCAGCTTGAGGCTGTGCCAGGCACAGAGGGCCACCGGAGGTGGTCCCCTTTCTCTCTGCCAGCCCCCTGTGGGTCCACTGGTGGGTGGCAGCGTCCACATTGACCCCATTCCGAGTTCTGTCCCTCACCCACGTCTCTCCTCTGTGATGACCTCTGGATCACCAGGGGGGCAGGGCCAGGGGAGGCAAAGAGGAGAACATGCTGCCAGGAATCCAGATTCCAGAAGACTTGAGGGCTCCAGGCCTATACCCACCGCTTGGCTGGGCCTGTGTGTGGGGCCTGACCAGCCCCTGTCCACCCCTCTGTGTCTGCATCACACACCTTGAACTGTATCACACATCACTGTACACTTGAACTCCCTCCCTGGCCTCTTCTCCCCTTGCAAGGTCAGAGGCCAGAGGGGATGAGGTTCTGAAGAAACCCAGGCTTATCCACCCCAGAGACTTGCACACTTACCCTCAGGTGGCGGGGGTGGGGGGGCGTTGGGAGAGGGTGGGATAGTGGGAAGATACTGGAGCTCTGAGCAGTCCCTAGCCTCAGCCCTGAGGGGGCAGGACAGGCCTGCGACCCAGGGCCACCAGATAGGCTGCAGCCTTAGAAGTCTGGGTAAGGGGGCGCCTGGGTGGCTCAGTTGGTTAATCGGCTGCCTTCGACTCAGGTCATGATCCCAGATTCCTGGGATGAGCCCCGCATAGAGCCCCGCACAGAGCCCTGCATAGAGCCCCATATCTGGGCTCTCTGCTCAGTGGGGAGTCTGCTTCTCCCCCTCCCTCTGTGTTCAATCTCCCTTTCAAAAAAAAAAAAAAAAAAAGGTGGTCTGGGTCAGGTTCCAGGAGGAGGTCAGCTTGCTGCAACGTGGGCTGAGGGAAGAAGGATGGAGGCTCTGCCCAAGCCCAGAAAGACCCACACTGAGAAGGGCACCCAAGGGACTGTGGGCCAGGGCATCACTAGCTGGCCGAGGGGGTGGGAAGCTGCACCCAGCATGCCTGGTGCTTGGGCTCCACCTCGGACAACAGAGACAGTTTCTTTGCTTTGGCCCAAGCCATGCAGCTTCCTGGCACCACCTGGGCCTGCCAGGTCTTCCAGGAGCAAACTCTTAGGCCACAAATGGGCTTTGTGTTTCTTCCCAGGGTCACTGGGTTTTATGTTTCCTATTGCTGCTATAATAAATTAGCACACACTGGCATCTTAAGAAAACACACATTTATTCTTTTACAGTTCTGAAGGGCAAAATTCTGAAATCACTTTTACTAGCTAAAATCACTTTCTGGCACCTGGGTGGCTCAGTCGGGAGCGTTTGCCTTCGGCTCTGGTCATGATCCCAGGGTCCTGGGATCGAGTTCCGCATCGGGCTCCCTGCTCAGTGGGGAGTCTGCTTCTCCCTCTGTCTGCTGCTCCCCCTGCCTGTGTGCACTCTCTCTCTTTCTCTGGCAAATAAATAAATAAAATCTTTAAAAATAAAATAAAATCACTTTCACTAGCTAAAATCACTTTCACTAGCTAAAATCAAAGTGTCAGCATGGCTGTGCTTCCTCCAGAGGCTCTTGGGGAGAATCCCCGTCTTTGCCTTGGGGTTCTTTCTTCCTTCTTCAAAGATAGCAGTGTGGCATCTCCAAATCTCTCTCTCTCTGCTGAGGTCCTCACATGGCTTCCTCTCTTGTTTGCAGTCAAATTTCCCTTGGCCTTCCTCTTTATAGGGACACTTATGATTACATTTAGGGCCCACCCGGATAATCCAAGGTAATCTCCCCATCTCAAAATACTTCCTGTAATCACATCTGCTCGGGCCCTTTTTCCAAATAAGGTACTGTTCTCAGGTTCCAAAGATTAGGATCCAGATATCTTTGGGGGCAGACCACTACACTGGGTTTGGAGAAGGAATCATGGCAGAGCTAATGAGATGGGGAGAGAGAGGGGGACAAGGACTCCAGAGGCAGGACAGCACCAAGGCATATTCCCTTCCCCCCGTCAGGGCTGGATGGAGTAGGTGGCTGTTTTCTCCTGTGGTCTGGTTTATGGGCCCTGACCCCTGGAGTGAGGTGGGCAGAGGGAGAGGCCCTCTCTGGGACCACAGCATTTCACCAACTAGGAGCGTGCCTGGGGGCAGCTGCAGGCTCCACCCACGAGCATTTGCATCCACCTGCTGCGTCCCTGTGGTATGCAGATCTGTGCATGCCAAGGCTTGTTTCTGAGAACCTACGTGACCTTCTGAGGGTTTGTTTGCCCCTCCTCCTGTGCCCTGGAGTCTGCATGTTTCTCCTCTGGTCTAGACGTAGAGTCAGATCCTATTGATCTCATGTGTGATTTCACATTTAAGAGAAAAACATGTGTCTGTGTTTTTGTTTGGGTGTCTCATGCTTAAAGGGATTTGGATTATGTCAGCACATCCACACAGGTGACCTGTGTTTCTGCTGTGTCTCTGCAGATCTGGGGTTCACACTCGGGTACGGGTGTTTCTATGCCAGTCAGGGCTCATGGGGCTTTGCTTTCTTGGTTGGTGAGATGCTGCGCTCCTATGGAGGGCCTCTAACCCATCAGCAGAAGGTGGATGCACAGGCCTCTTTCTTTCTCAGCCCTGCTCACGGGTTCAATGCAGGCCTCACCTCCATTCCACCCGATTCAGGGAGGAGAAGGCAGGGCTGCCAATATGCAAGGCAGTGGTGGCCCTGATTGCAGGCTGTGGACTCCACCTTCCTCAGGTGAGATGGTGGGATAGTTTTGGGGACACAGACGATCCCTCCCCATTGTCATCATTTGGGGCATACCCAGGTCCGCCATTGCCGGCTCGGCCCCGAGGGCCATGTCACGGTAGAATGCAGCGACCATGGTGGAAGGTGGGGGCGCCCGATGGAACGCGGGCCTGTTCGGGAGATACCCAGGTCTGACCCCGATCCCAAGGATGTCCTGCCCACAGGAAGCACCCGTGTGAGACCAGCACGGGGCTGCTGCAGCCATGGGGCTCCCTGGCAGCTACAGCTACGGGACTCCCAGCGAGTGAGCCTAACTCAGCCAGACTCCTGGCCGGGATGACACTTCTGGGTCCAGCTCAGGAGCGACAGTGGCTTGGCGGGTGACTTTGGGCAGGCCTCCCTTTCCCAGCTGGTAAAAAGGGTGGGGGATGAAGACAGCTAGACCAACCTAATCCTGAAGCCACACGCAGCACTGTGCCACACAGACCGTGACTCTCACTGAGGCTGTGAACGTAAATCTTCCGAAGCCATAGGGAGCCTTAGAGAAAACGCGTTTCAGATTTCGCCCACGCGGAGGCGCCGGCTCGCCGACCCGCAGGTCCCCAGCGGCAGGACCGGCGGAGTGGAGGCGCCAGGCAGCTCCCGTCCCTCCGCGGGGCTCGCGAGTCCCGGCTCAGCGCCCAGGCCTTCACCACCTGGGCTTCTGGAGGGCCAGCCGCGGA